AGTTCACATTGAGTTGAGTTACTCAGTGTTGTTTTAGCTTTTGAAGTGCATATGATCATAATGAAACTGGTCTCCAAAGAAGTCCAGAATTCAACATTTGGAGCTGCCAGTTTGAACGGTATCTTAAAGGCCAGGCCATATATCTGTGACATCGTTCAGTCCAAGTGTAATTTAACTGTTTGCTCTAGTGAACTAATGGCTGCCCTTGAACCCTATTGGCATCTCCCAATGTTGAATTTTGGACTTCTTTGGAGATGAATTTCATTAGGATCACATGTGCCTTAATAGATAAAAATAAGGTAACACCTCACTGTGGACTTGCTATTGCTGATGACAAAAAATACATGGTTTCTGGAGTGACCTTCTCCTTTTAATTAACATACATCTTGAAAACTTGGCTGAAATGTTTTGCTTGTTAGTTTTATTTTTCACTAAATATTATAGTTAACACACTATCAATCCAAAAACAAAACCCAGCATATTCATCTTTGCTATTATGTACGTATTCCCCTTGCAAACACAGCTGCTTATTTGGAAATATGTTTCTGATAGTGCATAACTGGAAAAGATCATTTTGTGTTCGACTTGCAATCACTAGCTATGGTCTTTGACAATACAGCGAGCTTCACAATTTAAATTAATTTACAAGATTAAAAGTGTATTGTGTTCAATAATTACCATATTATTTGGTATTAAATAAAAGATAAGTTAGTTATTAACAGGTTAATCATGTATTATACCACTATACATGTACATTTCAACTGTTCATTAAAACCTGTCCCTTCGTCTGGTGTAATTTTTTTTTCAGTTTGAGCAAGCAGATGAAGCTACACGCAACAGGAGGGCATTGGAAATAGAGAAAGAAGACACTGATGAACTTCAGCAAAAGTATCAGGTTGGTTTATTTGGATGAATCGTCCATTGCTAAGTAACTTTAAATGTAAGCTGAAAACTTATTTATTTCGTATAGCTTTTAAAGTGCTTGTTGCTTGATATTCACTCTTATTAGTAGTACTAATTAAGTTTATTATCATTATTATAAATATTCTATTTTATTAATAGACATGTAATTAGTTTTACAAATTTGAATTTTATCGTAGTGTTTTAAGTTGTAAAGCGCTGTTGATCAGTAAATGTAAATAGTGCTCTAGAAGTTATTAAATTATTATTATTAAGTACTTTTAAGCACAGGGTGGGAGTACTCCTTGTAATGGCCTATACGGGGAGGCTCTGCCCGAAAGGGCTACCTTTTTCAGGCTTCAGGCATATAAAAGGGTAGGGATTTCACAAGTTGAGGTATTGATAGGGTAGGGAAATCTGTCATCTTGACTCCTGCCATGACCTGAATGGATAATACTCTAGTTTCTTTGGTTAACATCTCTTCTGGTAATGCCTGATGTTCTCCCGTAGTATTGTTCATTAACTTCATTCCAAGGGTTTAGAGAACTTGGGGTGCAATGTTCTTTAGTAGGTATGTGAAGGGGGTACCTTTTTTCAATAAAAGGTGTATGAAAGGGTACCTTTTTTGTCAAAATGGCATACAAAAGGATAAGCGGTTGGACCTTGGGGTGGAACCTCCCCGTATAAAACTTTGTAGGGTACCCCGCCACCCCCGGGTTTTAAGAACTCTAGAATAAAATAATATGTATTTATCAAGAGGTAATGAGTGGTATCTGTCAGCAAAAAGTAAATAATTGCTCTGCTTCAGCATGACTGGATATTTTTGTTTGCTTATTTCCTTAGAATGAGCAGGAAAAGGAAAAAGCAATTCAGGAAAGCTTGAAAGATTTGAAAGAAATGTTCTACTGTGAACTTTGTGACAAGCAATATTTTAAGTATAAAGAATATGACAACCACATCAACTCATATGACCATGCTCATCGGCAGGTAATGTGTCCTTCAGTAGTCAACATACTTCTGTCGTGACTTTAATCACACATTTGCAGGTATAATGTAGTGATGGACTTATTTGAACCAATTTTTGTTTACAGAGACTCAGAGAACTCAGGCAAAGAGAATCAACAAGAAATATATGTAAGTGTATATAGCAAATAATTTTATAGTTTATTTCGATAGTAAGAACCTCAGTACATTCCTTCAAGAGGTTCTAGGAACTATCTGTTTTTACATGTATGAGAAAGTATAGTTCTTTGACATGAAGCATTAGTGTGTACAGTGGGCAGTGTACCCGTAGCCCTCTACATGCATTAATTTAGGGGCCAATGGGAAGTAGGGGTGGTGTAATGGTGAGAGTGCTTGCTTTAAAACACCAATGATGTGGCCCTGGTTCGATTCTGCCCTAGTGTCGTATTTGGGTTGAGTTTGCTGTTGCTTGTTGCCTTGCTCTCAGGGTTTTTCTCTGGGTTTTCTGGTTTTCCTCCCTCGTGAAAAACATTTTCAAATTCCAATTCAGCCTGGATAGAAGACCTGAGTGAAAACCAGTGTAGGCTGATGTGGCTTCCTCTCTAAATATTGTAATTTTGCTAGGCAATAAATTACTCCTGACTTTAATATTATCGTAGATGCAAAGAAGAAGAAAGAACAGAAACAAATGGAAAAGGAATTGCAGAGGCTTCACCTTATTTCTGGAAAGACTACAACTGAATCCAGGTAAGTAAACTAAGACTGGGACTGATGGTTGAATTTTATCTTAAAACTGTCTACAGGCTTTAAGCCAGGATTTGAATAGTGGGCATCCATCTGGCTAAAAGCCTGACTGTGTATATGCACATGTAAGAATGAAAACAGGGCTGTAGAGCAGTGCAGAGCAGAGCTCTAGTGTGCTCAACACTAGGGCTGTGTGTATTGAAGTTGCTTAATAGTTGTATCAAATATAGAGATAGTGCTACTTTCACCTTGTTAGACCGCTGAGTGTCTACCTGCACTGATTATATTAACAATAATATTAATCATTCAAAGCAAAAAACTAAGCCACCACATTTTATTCCAAATCAAGAATACTGCTTGAGGAATAACTAACTGGACAAGGATCAAGGACGTGTTACAAAGCAATGAAAACAAATGATTATTATCCGTGTTGGTACATACATAATACTGATGAACAGTGCTTATGATGGCTGGCAGTCTTTTGTTTTTCCTTTTTGTTCTCCCTTTGACCCAAAACTGGCAAACTCTAGTTTAACAAACAAAAAGATTTGTCACCATTCTTTACATGAAGGTGAACTAATAATAAAACTGATTTCTTATTGTACAGTGTCTGTGTACTTTATGGCTGTTTACAATAGACTTTTTCAAGCCTGACCTACTTCACATCGAGCAGGGGATCAATAACTATAAGCAAACTTTCATTATTATCCTTTTCAATTATCTGATAACTGCATTTCTTTCTTTCTTTGTATCAACAGACCTGATGCAGGATTCAATACAGTGTTCAGGTCTTCATCCAGTGCACCAACCTCTGGCTTCAAGCCAATCGCAGTACGGGGGAGCTTTCAGGCAGTTCCACCCCCACCCGCTACTGACTTTGCACCCCCTCTTCCAAGAGAACCTGCCCCACCCCTCCCTGATGAACCAGTTCCTCCCCCACCACCTCCCCCACCAGGAGATCAACAAACAAAGAAGCCTTTTAGCTTCAAAATGGGTTCATCATCTGGGGAACAAGGCCTGGCAGAGACATCCACTAGCACCACACCTGCAAAACAGGGTCTTTCCTTCAGTCTCGTGAAGAAGAAAGGTGTAACTGTTGTACAGTTTGGCGTCAAATCCAAACCTGCAAAGACCACTGCTTCTGCTTTTGCTGAATCAAGTAGTGAAGAGGAAGAAGATGAAATGCAGGAGGAAGACACAAGAGTCTCATTTGACAATGAGCAACTGACTTCTACTCCTACACAACAGCAAGATACTCTGGAAAAAGTCATAGAGTATGCTGACACTTTAAGAATAAAAGCGGCTCTCAAGCCAAAACTGTTGATCAGATTTGTGAAGGGTACAGAACAGGGTGGAATACTTCCTGGAACTATTCCAAAATCTGATGAATCTGATGAACCGAAGGAAGAGACTAAACCCATTGCTAGAAAGTTTAGAGAGTTCAAGGAGAAGAAAGAGGTCACAGAAAAGAGCAAGGAAGAGGACTGTAAAGATTCTGGAAATAGCGCAAAAGATGCAAAGCACAGGAAAAAGGAGGAACGTCACTACAAGGAAAGGATAAAAGATTATAAAGAAAGGAAGGATTACAGTGACAGAGGTAATCGTTCAGAAAGAACATTGGACAGAAGAGAAGATAAATATAATTACAGAAATTCTGAAGATTATGAGGAAAGAAAACAACTCAGAAAAAAGGAATCCAGAGACAGAAAAAATGAAAAACGCAACGTAAAGGAATCAGGACATGTTGACGAATTCAGTGCGAGAAAATCATATAACAAGAAAAAGTATTCTGACTAGTGAAGGTAACAGAGGATTCTCCAATTCTGTAGAAGATTCATATGCAGCTAAGAAAAAGGACGGGAAAACTTGAAGTTTATAGTAAGCTTCAACACTGCTTCATTAGCAGTTTGGTTTTGAATGTTCTCGTTTATTTGTGTAGGCAAAAGGAGATTGAGTGGTATTCTTTTGTATTCACTGGGTCACCGAATTCAATTTATAATGTATGTTCCTCTGAATTAAAATACAGCAAAAACCTTTTGTTTACTATCTTTTCAATAAAGCCAGTGGGACCTTGATGACTCAAAAAACAGTGAAAGCACTGATTAAAATGAATTTGTTTTACGTGAGGTGCATGAAGGCAATTTTCAAAAGGGACTTCCAATGTATATTCAGTTACACCACATCTGACACAGTTTTAGGGTGTGTTTCTTTGGGAAAATCCGTGATTGGATTCTTAACAGCAAAAATGGATTTTGCATTTCTTTGCTAAATAGATTAATCCAAGATCACTCGGATCATGATGCCTCAAAGGAACCAAAGAATCCACTCTGGGCAAGGATTCTTCGGTTCCTTTGATGTGCCATCTGAGTGATCTTGGATTAATTTTACTATTAAAGAAATGTAAAATCCATTTTTGGATTTAAGAATCCAAACTTAGATTTTCCCAAAGAAACCTACCCTTAGCCAACACCTCCACATGAAGAATTAGACGATGTGTTTCTTCACTCTTATAGAAGATGGGGAACAGCACTTTCATTGTAATTCCTTTGTCATGGGGGGGGGGGGAGTTACTCATTAAATACTATGAAGAAAGCCCCAGAAATTTTGAGCTGAAAGGACTGTTTCAGTACACAACATAAAGTGGCATCATTGGCCGGCACAAATAGTGTATGAATTTATAGACACAACAAAAATAAGGGAGATTTATTGGTTCTTGAGGTTCACATTAACTTCATGTAAGTTCATAAACAAATCAACACATTGCCATAAATGTGATGATTATTTAACTGTACACTTGAAGATAGAATGTTTCTATTCTTCTTTGCTCAGTTGCCACAAAGAACATGATGATTTAGCTTGAATGAAGTGCAGACAGAGCCAATCCAATAATTTCCTCTACAAAGTTGATTTAATAGTCTCACCACAGGTTTAGAGATGAATATTTACTAAGGAGGAGCTCAAGCTCAATCATCGCAAATATTTTGACAAGTTCACAGAAGAAGGATACATCTAAGAAAAGCACTTGATTAAAATGGTGCAATGAAGCTATGATTTCTATCAATACTAAAGTGTAATATGACAGTTACTCTCATGCCTAACCCCATTGAGGAGGTTCAATAGACTATTCATTCATTCATTCATTCATTCATTCATTCATGCCTAAAGAAGTACACCTCTAATATAGCGACAAGTCCCAGGGACAGAGACTCCCAAACAAAAAGGACAGCGGGTGCTCATCGGAAATTTTGAAAAAAAACCCTTGGAGGTACATGTACCAAGATCCTGTTTTGTGGATGTGGCTTGAAATTTTTTTTTCACCCCTAAGAGGTACAAATTCTAAAGCACCACCTTAACTGACATTGACCTTTTTCGGCTCGATACCCTCAAATGTATTGAGAAAGCTCCTGCTGTGGACCTTTTGAGGCTGAACACCCTAAGAGTTACCAAATCTGCTCTTTTAACCCCTACAAGGTACAACAAGCACCCTGTCCTTTTTTATGTCGGAGTCTCCCCTGGAGCTAAGTCACCACTGATTGCATACATGAATGTACCTCCCTGGTCACTTTTATCACTGAGTATGCCCTCTACTGAGTCAAGAACATTTAAAATGACAGAATGGAATAATTCACCTACATGCATAA